GCTTGTTAAGTCTGGAACCCCTGAAATACAGGGCCTTGAGAAAGGGCCAATCCCGTGGGAGGATGTAGAGTCGGGGTACCGTCCGGGGAGCGGGACCTGGAGCTCAGTGCAGCATTAGAATTAGCCCCCAGAATCCTGAGTCTCTCGCGTGAAAAGTGGGCACCCGTGGGGTCTTCCGGAATCTACCCCCGTCGGTGAGCAAATTCTGATGGATTTCTCCCAGGACTGTGAGCCGAGAGATGAGGTCTTCCAGAGGGAGTCTAGTTTAAGGGAATCCGGCTTCCCAGGTGGCTCAATGGTAAAGAATCTGCCTGCAAACCAGGAAATGCAGGAGACGCAGGTTCTATCCCTGGGTGGGGAAGATCCCCTGGAGGAGGGCATGGCAACCCACTTCAGTATTGTTGCCTGGAGAATCCCATGGACAGAGGAGCCTGGCGGGCTACAGTCCATAAAGTCTCACAGAGTCGGACACGACTGAAGCGACTTAGCAAGCTTTCACTCCTGCCACCTACGCATCGACTAAGAGGAGCCCCAGCAGCTCCACACTTGGGGCCTCTCCTTTAAGGCAGGATTTACTGAGCCAGTACCCGCCTCGGCACCGAAAATTCCGGGCCCCAACGCACCCCGCCCGGCACCTGTCCACGTAGCCCCTCCCCTGTCGTCTCCTGATTGGCCGTGTAGGCAGCGCCCCCTAGCGGCACCGGGCTCTGATTGGCGGGAAGTTCGCAGCCCGCGACTGGGGGATTGTGGAGAAAATGAGTCGGCCTCCGGCGGGGGCGGGAGGCGGGACTGCGCCGAGCCGGACCCGCTGGACAAACGGGCCGCCTGGAGCGCGACTCCACGCCGGACACGATGCGGCTGCCTGGCCCCAGCGGCCGCCGCCCCCTCCTGCTGGTGCTGCTGCTGTCGCTCCTTGCAGCCGCCGCCACCGCCGCCTCCGCCGCCGGCCCCAGCCCCAGCCGGGCCGTCGAGGTCGCGGCGATCCCGGGCCGTCCGGCCGGGTAAGCCCCGCTGCGGCCCCTTCGTCCTTGTGCCCCCTCCACCTAATAAGTCTGGCGGTCCAGGACGATCAGGACTTTCGGATTTAGGGGAACCTGTACCCACTGCTTCGTGATAGGGATGAAGAACCAGAGCTCTTGGATTTATTAGGGCCCTCTATTTTGTAGGGGTTAGAATCCGAGGTGTATTGAGGTTCTGAGCGGAGGGACTCCCCTCCGGTGCGGTAGAGACGGATGTGGCTCCAGGGAATTCTAGAGTTTATTTGGAGCAGGGTCCCAGTTTGTATGGGGATGGGGCTTTGGGTTCTCCTAGGATGATAGATGGGTGGGGCCGAGCTGGGATGGGGTCCCCAGGTTTCTGGGATGCTTAAGAAGGAAGACTATGGGAGGTTATCGTGGCGCTTTAAGCAGGAGTTGAGACGTCCTGGTTTTCTGGGGTTTGGGAATGCTTGAATTAATTAATAGAGACCTTTTCCTATAAGACTTGGAGTTTGGTGTTGATGGCGGAGGGGCTTGTGGGAAATTGTGCGGAGGTGGGGTGGGGGGGTGCTCATATTTCATGAGGGTTAAGGATGCTTTAGTTTCCTAGAATTAGAGGATTCTGGGCTTAAATGAGGTACCAGTGATTTCGCGGCAAGAGATCCAGAATTTCGTATAGATTTGGGAGTTATAGCCACTCTTCCTGTCTACGGGTGACGAGATCGGAGGAAACAGTCTGCCCAGTACCCCCACCCCCCGCCCTGCGGCCCAGCGCTCCGTTACAAAGGCCCCGGGCTCCGCTCCCGCCTCGGTCTCTGCGAATACGTTTAGTAACCCGAGCCGCGCCGGGGGCGGGGCTGGGAAGGGGTTAACCCGGAGAAAAGGCGGGAGGGAATGACGGCAGGATCGGGGGTCAGGGAGGCTCCCACCCGGGCCGCCCCCTTCTCTACCGGGCCCCACCCGTCTAAAAAGAGTCCATACGGCCGACGTCCCCTTCGCAGCATCCTCCGCTGCTCCTCTCTCCTGCCCTGCGCGCGCGCCCACGGCCCTCGTCCCCCTTAGCCTGGGAATAATGGATTTGTCTGGGGGGCCCCTGGGTTGCGACGCACTTGCGCCCAAGCTGAGGGCTCCGCCGGCCAGAATCGGAGACCTTCCCGGCGCGGAGATTCCTCCGAAGAACGACTCCTTCCTCGTGGTCAGGCAGGAAACTGAGGCCCAGGGACCAGGAGACTCTGGCTCCAGAACATACAGCGTGGAAGGGCAGGAACGGGCTAGAACTCAGACCTCGGGATTCTCAGTGCTGGGCTGTGGCTCCTGTATCCCTGTCCACCTCTGCACCCCGCTGGACCCACAGTCAAAAGAGAACTTCCCTCCCCTGCCGTTGAGGCCTGTGGACGTGGCGCCATCTGCCGGCAAACTGCGGGATGACGGCTGAGTCCAGGACAGGGACGTGCGGGGAGGGCGGGGTTCTAGATTCCCAGAGCCGGCTTGGAAGTGCACTTAGAAATCTTCTCTGAGTCTCTCTCTCTTTTTAAAAAAGTCATTTTTAAAAAAGACTTTAAAATGTCTTTTCCAATAATTCCTTACCCACAAACATTTCAGAGGAAAAATAAACATGAGGTTGCTGTGACCTTACCTAAACCAATTTGCCTCCCATTGTACAGATGGGGAAACTGAGGCATCGAGCGACGTGCCTCAAATTGGTCACATAACAACCCCCAGCACCCTCCAGCCTTATCTTGGCTTCCCCTGCCCCATCCCTCGTCGCCGTCCTTTGGGGAGTTCTATAGCGCTAGCGGCTGGGTGACTTCCATCCCTCTGTTTATAGTGTTTCTGCTTGTCGCTGCTGCCCAAGCCGAGCGCCCAGGAGGAGCCGCTGCTTTAGAGGTGGGTTCTTGTAGGCGGGGTTAGGTTGGAGGGGAAAGATGGTAGAAGCAGAGGAGCTGGGGGCGGGGGGGTCCCTTCCTCATCCCTCACCCCAGCTGGAGAGCTGGATGGAAGAAGAACTCGGTTGCCTCCTTTTCCACTTAGTCCCTGGCTGTCTCTGAAGCCTCCTGCAGGATCCGGAGCTGCCGGCCCGAAAAGTGTGCAGGCCCTCAGCGGTGCCTGGCTCCAGGGCCCCCAGAGCTGCCGAGCCCCAGCCCCAGCGTGAGGAAGAGACAGGTGTCCCTTAACTGGCAGCCACTGACGTGAGTGTGTGACCCTCTCCTGCTAGATGCTCCCAACCCCGCCATTTCCAGCACATATCCCTCTGCTCCCTGGGTCTCCTTTTTCTTGCTCTTTCTACCAACTTATGTCTCTGTTTCTATTTCTCCTTTTCTTGCCTATTGCTGTCTCTAGGCCTTCCGTTTCTCTCTCTCTGTCTCTGTCTCCGTGTCCTTATTGGTTCCTTGCATCTGTCTCTCTCTATTGGTTCTTTGCGTCTGTCTCTTTCTCTCATAGTTACCTGCCTCTTTCCTCTGTCTTCTCTCTCTCTCCCTCCCTCATCCCGGTTTATCCCACTGACTTTGTTCTTCCTAGCCTCTAAAGAATGTTCCAGGCCTGATCCCCAGAAAGAGATGGAAGGGGGATGCAGAGCCTCCACTGGAAGACCTCCTGATGTAGGAGGTCCCTTCCAGCTGCGGGAGTTGGGGGGAGGGGGTCAGCCTAACCGCTGTGACCACTCCTTATCTGCCCCCTCCCACCCAGGCTGCAAGAGGCCCGAGCCCTGCTGAGGCGACGGCGGCCCCGCGGGCCGGGGGCCCGGGCATTGCTGAGAAGGAGGCCCCCACAGCGCGCCCCTGCCGGCCAGTCCCGGGGTAAGAACATCCGCCCTTCCCCCGCCGGGTTGGGGGGGGCGGTGAGGGGGGATGGGGGGGTTCCGGGCCAGATAAAGCCGTCTGGTTCCCACGGTGCAGCCGCCGCCTAGCCGCCCCCCACTGTAGCTCAGCACCCCTCCCCAGGACTCAGCCTCCTCTAGGGACCCCGGCGTCCGGCTGCGAGAGGTGAGTCCGGGACAGGACCAGACGCGGGCCAGAGGCGCTGACCCGCGGGGGTGGGGCCAGGAAGCCAAGCGTCCGGGCTCCCCGCGGCCGAAGAGGGGGGCGCTGTCCCGGCCGAGAACGCCCGAACTAGCCCAGACAACAAAAGCGATTGTGCGGGTTGGCGCCTGCCCGGTCACCGAATGCCCCAAATTGCGGGGCGGCTAGGGGCCAAAGGCCTCCCACTGCTCTTCCGACCCTCCTCCCGCCCTCCTCCTGCTCCAGCTCTCAGCCCCTGGGCTAGCACATCCCCTAGTCTCCCTCAAAAGTCTACCCTCAAAAGTCTCCCTCCTGCTGTGGCCTTCAGCCCAGATGTGTCCCCTCCTCCCTAAAGTCTTCCAGATGTGGGCCTTCCGCCAGATGTGAGGACCCCCGCCCACCATCTCCCTCCACCATTTCCCCTAACCCATTCTGACTTCTCCCAGGTGTGAGGGTCGCGGTCAGATGTGACTGCGTCCTCAAGTGGGCCCCTCCAGCGTCCTGCCCGCCAGGCAGACCCCCAATCCCTTCGTGTGCCCAGGTGCACCGACCCTTCTCCTCCCCCCCAAGATGAGCCACCTGGCTGCCCAGATGTGCCATGACAATCGCCTACCCAGATGAAGCCCCTGTCTCTGTGACTGAGGCGGAGACAGCCTTCAATCTTCTCCCCAAATGCGGCCCCCACTCCTCTTTCCTCTTTAAGGACTCAGCCTGGTCTGGGGTGGGGTGTGGGGGGGACCGGCCCGCCCCCACCTGTTCCCTTCCCCGCCGCTCCCCTGCGGGCCCCATTCACTTGTTGGTGCGGGGCGGGAGCAGAGGGGGCGCCCCCCTCCCCGCTCCGAGTCTAGCGCCCAGCCTGCGCGCCTCTGGCTGCGCGCCCAGCCCCACGCGCCCCCGCGCGGCCGCCGGGGAGGGAGTGGTGGGGAGGGGGGGCCTGAGCGGGGGCGCGGCCGCCCTCCCCCGCGGGCGGGCGGGCGCGGCCGGGCCCCTCGGGCGGGCTGGGGCGGCGGCGCGGCGGAGCGCGGCGCTGCAGCCATGGCGGGCGGCGCGCGGCTGCTCTGGGTGTCGCTATTGGTGCTGCTGGCGCTGCTCCGGCCGCAGCCCGGGCTAGGTCGACCCCGAGAGCGCCTCCGCGTGCGCTTCACCCCGGCCGTGTGCGGCCTGAGCTGCGTCCATGGGCCCACCGGCCCCCGCTGCACCCCGACCTGCGCGCCCCGCAACACCACCAGCGTGGACAGCGGCGCGCCCGGCGGGGCGGCCCCGGGGGGACCCGGCTTCCGCGCCTGTGAGTGCGAGGTGGTGGTCCCGAGGGAGGGGTTCCCAGGGGGAGGAGGAGGATCCCTGGGGATGAGGGAGACAGTCCCCAGGAAGAGGGATCCCAGATTCCTTGTGCCAGAGTGCTGGGGAGTCCCCGGCTTATTTAAGGAAGAGAACCTCAAATTCCTGCCTTTGGGGGTTGGATCCTGAGAGTCCTGATTCTGCAAGCAGTGAAGGTTCTCAGGGACCTGTGGTGTCCCATGTGAGGCGACCGGGGCTGACTTTCCTGCCTTTGAGTCAAAGTGGGGAATCTCAGAATTGAGGGGCTCTGGAGCTTGGGGGAAAGGGGTTTGAAAGCTGTGACTGTGACCAGGGGTCCCCAGAGTCCAAGGGAGAGTTCCAGGGCCTTCAGAAGTGGTTTCCCGTTTCTGCTTCTTTGGGTGGGAGGCATTAGGAAAGTCTAGGATGGGAGTGCCTGTGAGGAGGGGTATTGGGGTGTGGAAAGTCGATCCTGAGAGCTGAGAGGAAAGGTGTTCATAGGAGGGTCTCTGCCAGACCCCGAGTTGCAAGGGTCGCACGTGGACGAGCAATCCAATAGGCGGTCTGGGGGGAAAGGCGCCCCCTGGGGGCAGAGGGGACAGGAGGGTCTGCGCACCAGGCTCCTCTAAGAGATGGAGAGCCCTGGCGGGGGCGGGGGAAGTCAGGTGAGGTAGGGGTGGTGAGCCACCTGTTGGCTCCAGGGCCTGGTGGCGGGTGGGCTCTCAGGGTCTGGGCCTACCTGCCCCCAGTCCCGGAGGCCCTCTGGAGTGGGGAGTGGGGGCCCCTGGCGCGGAGAACTCGCCCAGCCTGGCCCCCGGCCAACCCAGCCCTGGCCGGCGTGAGCTCATCTCTCGCAGGAGCCCCCGCCCGCTGCCACTCCCTCTCTCCACCCCTTCCTCCCTCTTTCCCTCACTCCCTCTCGGCCCAGCCTCAACGGGCCTGTGCCAGGCGCCGTGCCCAGGCGGGTGCCAAGCCCCTGGAGGCGCAAGGAGGGGACTGCGAGGGGCGGGGGGGGGCTGACCTCGGGAGGACCTCGATGTCCTCAGCTCCTCACCCCTCCAGGGGTGTGGGACATGGAGTTGCCTGTGCCCATCTAGCGGCCCGCCCTGGGTGTGGGAGCCAGCTGGGCCGGGGGCCTACATTCAGGACGAGAGAAGACAAAGCAGTGTCTTTGATGGCTCGGAAATGCCCCCTCCCGCGACTGCTGCCCCCCAACAGAGACTCTTCCTATTTTGGAATCTTGATTCCTAGTTAAGCCTCTCCTAAGCCTGCCACTTAGTTAAGGACCCCTCTTAGAGCACCCTAGAGTCCTGGTCTGAGCCCCCTAACTAGGGGAGCTAAGAATCTCTGCCCTCAGTCCCCACGGCCCTCGCACTGCTATCAACAGACTCCAGAGACCAGCCCCTTCAGTGAAGTTCCCGCCCACTCTTCTGATGTAATCGCCCCAAACTGCACCCCTCACCAGAGAAATCTAGTTTTGTCCCTCAGCTACTCCTCCCCACTTCCAGGGGAAACCCCAGATTACAAAGGCTGTACAGTGATTACTCTCTAGCCTAATTCCCTTTCTGAAAAAGTTTCCCATTTTCTTCTATTTCCAACTGAATCCCGTCAGAGATCCCCGATTGCTGGGTATCCAAGTCCTCCTCTCCCAGCTGACACCCTCCCCCAGAAACTTCTGATCCCTCTATTTTCAGAGAAACCCAAAGTTGGTCTTGATCAGCTGATTCTCCCAAGAGGACTCCAGATACGGTGCTCCCCTCAACCAGCCATTAATCTAAAGACGTGGGTACCTTATCCCTTAGCTGAGAGGGAAGGGGGTATTCCACAGTATCTTAGAACTTTCCCAGACAGCTGAGGCTCTCATGTGCTGGGGACTCCCAAGAATCCCACTACTCCATCTCCACCTTTCTCTCAGCACTGTCAAATTGGCCGTTCCTTCGAAGTCAGTAGAGTTCCGTTAGTAGGTAACTCTCCCCAAAGGGACTAAAGAGGTTCCTTCTGCCTCCGTTTCCTCTGGGATCGGCTCTGTTTCTGTTCCAGAAACCTCCTGAGGTCTTCAAACGGCGGAGTGCTGCCTTCTAACTGATCTCCTCCCAGGAGTCCAGTCTCCGTACCCGTATAAGCTGAGGGGGCTCCCTCTGTTTTCCTGTCTCCAGTGTGTGGCTCAGAATCCCACACACGCCTTTCAGGACGGCCCCGGCCGCCTGCCCCATCCTCCCCTCCTCACAGCTGTCTCCAGCTGTTCTCGGCAGCCCCAGGGGAGAAAGGGAGGGGGTGCCCTCGCAGGATGTGTCCGGCCTTCTTTGGCTCGGCGGGCCCGGGGCTCCCCCAAGGGTCCAAAACGAGGAGCCGCCGCCCTGCCCCCGCCGCGCCCCTCTCTTTGTTTACCCCGCCGCACAGCTGGCAGCGCCCCGCCCCAAGGTGGCCCGAGGCCCAGCGAGGACGCGCACAGGGGAGAGCAGGCGCGTTCCCGCTGGCCCCGCCCCGGGGCTACCGGAGGCGGGAAGTCAGAGCTGGAACCCGGGAGCCGGAGCCAGAGGGGAGGTGGGCGGGGACAAAGCTCGGGGATGTGGGGCTAGGACGCGCAGATAGCGGGGAGGTGGGATGAGAGGAGCGCGGGCGAGCGAGCCAGGGCAAACTAACGTGAGGAAGGGAAGGTGGGTGGGGCTAAACGCAGCAGGTTAGACGCTTCGATGGGAGAGGCTTGCAATCCCTAGGGTAGAAGAACGCGATGTGGGCGGGGCGCATAGAAGCGGGGGGCGGGGAGAAACGCACAGCCTGTGGGCGGAGCTTGAACCGGCCGCAAGGGGTGCGAATGTGCCTAGAGCAGTAAGGAGACAGAGTTGCGAGCACGGGATGGTGCCAAGGAGTGACTGACGTGTAGTTTTAGTCAATGGAAGTGACAAGCGCTGGGTCTGACGGGGCTGGAACAGCAGAAGATGGGCAGGACTAAATGCGAAGGCACGAGTTAGAGCGGGCGTGACTGAGCCTATAGGCGGGGCCAAAGCTATCTGGGCGGGGCTAGTAAGCCTCGGACTCCGCCGGAAAGTGGGACTTGAGAGGGAGGGCGGGGCGATGTGAAAGTGAAGGAGGAGCTTGGGGGCTCGGCGAGTGGACTCAGGGGGCGGAGCTACACCTCCAGGGGCTGGACCCAGCCAATGCCAGTGGCCAGGGTTAGTGGGGAGATGACACAAGACGGCTCAAGGCTGAATGACATAGAACTGAGTGATACCTTTGAGGCTGTAGTTATAACGTTACGGGTTGAGCTACTGAGGGGTTGTAGTTATAACGTTAGGGGCTGAGCTAAGTGAGGGTGCTCTCGTCCCAAGGGAAGCTGCAAGCAGGGTTGCCGACCCTGAGTGTCCTCGCTCTCTCCCCAGTCCTGTGTCCCTTGATCTGTCACAATGGAGGAGTGTGCGTGAAGCCTGATCGCTGCCTCTGTCCCCCGGACTTCGCTGGCAAGTTCTGCCAGTTGCATTCATCGGGCGCCCGACCCCCGGCCCCGGCCATGCCAGGCTTCACCCGGTCTGTGTACACCATGCCGCTGGCCAACCACCGCGATGATGAACATGGTGAGGAGAGTGCGGCCGGAGTTCCCTCCGTACCCTCCACCACCTCGTCGTCCCTCTGACTCCCGTGTTTCCTTCCTTCTCTTGAGTACCCTTCTCCATCGCGCCCTTTCCCCTCATTCCTACTCGCGCTTTGCCCCGCGGTGCCTCTCTGCAGGCGTGGCGTCTATGGTGAGCGTCCACGTGGAGCACCCGCAGGAGGCGTCGGTGGTGGTGCACCAGGTGGAGCGTGTGTCCGGCCCTTGGGAGGAGGCGGACGCCGAGGCAGTGGCGCGAGCGGAGGCGGCGGCACGATCGGAGGCGGCAGCGCCCTACACAGTGCTGGCACAGAGCGCGCCGCGCGAGGACGGCTATTCGGACTCTTCGGGCTTCGGTTACTGCTTTCGGGAGCTGCGCGGAGGCGAAGTGAGAAGAGGCCGGTGGGGTGGGGCCCGGAGCGTGCCACCGCGCGGGGGCGCGCTCACCCTACACTTCCCCACAGTGTGCGTCCCCGCTGCCCGGGCTCCGGACGCAGGAGGTGTGCTGCCGAGGGGCCGGCTTGGCCTGGGGCGTTCACGACTGTCAGTCGTGCTCGGAGCTCCTGGGTAAGCCCCAGGATGTCCCCAAGGTGCTCGGAGCTGGGGAGGACTGAGAACCCTGCCGCTCCCTGTACTCTGCCCGTACATGTACCCTTACACGAATTCTAGCCACGCCTATCCCATTGTGGGCATCGTTTCCAGTCTAGACCCACCCATACCAGCTGGGACCATCCATCCCACTTTCTGACTTTGGCTAGCTACGCTGTTCTTACCCGACCTTCACGCCATTCGCCAACCTAAGGCTGACCTTGCGCTCAAACCACACTCAACACCTTTTAGTTCCTGCCACCCCATTTTCGCCCCCGCCCACTTCATTCTCGCTCCTGCCGCCCCTGGCCCACCCTTCTCCTCTCTCCACAGGTAACACCCGCCAGGGGGGCGCCCCAGATGGGCCGTGTCCAGCTGGCTTTGAAAGGGTTAATGGGTCCTGCGAAGGTGAGCTGGGGCAGGGGTGGGAAGAGCTCGGGTCTAGGGAAGGGGCTGGCGGGGAGCTGGCCCTGACGCCTCTGGGATCACCCCATTCCTCGTAGATGTGGATGAGTGCGCGACTGGGGGGCGCTGCCAGCACGGACAGTGTGCGAACACGCATGGCGGGTACACTTGCGTTTGCCCCGACGGCTTTCTGCTTGACTCGTCCCGCAGCAGCTGCATCTGTGAGCCGCCGGGGTCTGAGGCTGGTCCCGTGTCCACCCTATCCTCATGGCCGAGCCTCCCTGGGTCTAATTCCCTTAGACCACACCCTCCCAGATCCTCCCAGATTCCCTGGTCCCGCCCCACCCCCCACCCCGCCTAGTCACTGGTACCTCCCCTTCCGCACATCTCAGACGACTCTCTGGAGCCTCTTCGGCTCCTCTAAGAACCCCTCAAACCTTTTGAACTCAGATCTCCAGACTTTCATCAGCTCCTCTTAAGCCCCGATATTTCCTCATCTCTCGCGATACTTCAGATGCTGAGCTCCTTCCCAGACCCCCTTTCACCCCCTCAGACTCTCCCCAAGCCCAGAACCCTTCTCAGACCTCCAGGCCCCCCGCCCCAGCTCTTCTTCAGACTCTCTCAGAGATTTCCCAGAGGCCCTTCACACCCACCGAGCCCTCCTTTGGACCATTCCCCTACCTTCCAGATCCCCTAGTCCACTACACTGCTAACCCTTCCCTGAAGAATTTCCTCCCCGACCTCCCCAGCCCAACACGTGATCTCAGAGGCTAAGGGGCCCTGCTTCCGCGTGCTTCGAGACGGCGGCTGCTCTCTGCCCATTCTACGCAACATCACCAAACAGATCTGCTGCTGCAGCCGTGTAGGCAAAGCCTGGGGCCGGGGTTGCCAGCTCTGCCCACCCTTCGGCTCAGGTGAGTGCCTCCTGCCTACCTTTCTCTCTCTTTTTTGCGTGCGTGCTCTCTGTTCGACTCTTTGCATCCCCTTGGATTGTAGCCCACCAGGCTTCCCTGTCCTTTGAATTTCCCAGGCAAGAATACTGGAGTAGATTGCCATTTCCTACTCCAGGGGCTCTTCCCGACCCATGGACGAGCCCGCGTCTCTTGCATCTCCTTCATTGGTAAAGTGGATTCTTTACCACTTGGGCCACCTTGGAAGCCCGCCTTTCTTTCAGTTCAGTTCAGTTCAGTTGCTCAGTCGTGTCTGACTCTTTGCGACCCCATGGACTGCAGCACACCAGGCCTCCCTGTCCATCCCCAACTCCTGGAGTTTACTCAAACTCATGTCCATTGAGTCGGTGATGCCATCCAACCATCTCATCCTCTGTCGTCCCCTTCTCCTCCCGCCTTCAATCTTTACCGCCTTTCTTCAGAGTTGACGCTAACAGGCCTTCTAGGCTCCGCCCCCAGACTCTCCATTCAGGTTGGACCCTACTCATAGCCACACCCCCGGCCTTTGAGACAACCTATCATCAGAGTGGACTCCGCCTGGGCCCCCACCCCATCTTGGGCCACACCCACACCTGTGGCCCAAGACCTTGAAGTTAGGCTGTGTCCTAGGAGCGTCACCCCCAGTCTCAACCTCTCATAGCCCTTGAGATATACTGCTTACCCAACCTTGTCTCGATGCTTGGTCAAGTCCCCAGCTCCTGAGACACTGACTCCTATCTAAGTTCAGTTTTGGGCCCCGCCCAAGACACCCCGCTCCAAGACACCTCCCAGGCAATCTTTTTCTGCATAAAACCAGACCCCACAATGGACCTGATTGTTTCCTGGCCTTCAACCCTGTCCCTGTATACCCCAAACTAGACCCCGCCTTCAACTCCTGTCCCTGCCATCATCCCAAAGAGGGAAAAACATCCTTGGTCCCACCCTTAGCCTCTGAGATGTCCCATTCTTTGGCCAGGGTACCACCCCATCTCAGCATCCAAACCAAACCCCTAACACAACCCCAGGCCAAGCCTTCCCCACGATCAAGTCCAGACCCTCAACTCCCTCTTCTCTTTCTCCTTCACTGCCCTTCCATCTCATTCCCCCTACTCTCTTGCCCTTTCTCTGCCTATCTTTCTCCCTTTCCTGTTACCAGAGGGTTTTCGGGAGATCTGCCCAGCCGGCCCTGGCTACCATTACTCGGCCTCCGACCTCCGCTACAACACCAGACCCCTGGGCCAGGAACCACCCCGAGTGTCCCTCAGCCAACCCCGTGCCCCACCCTCCACCTCTCGACCACTCTCAGGTGAGCTGGTTTCTGGAGGAGGGGGTGTTGTCTCCAAGGGGCTGCCTCAGGCTCACCAAGAAAAGGGGGAATGATCAGGGACACCCAAATCCAGGTCTCCACTGCTGACACCCCTTCTTTACCAGGCTTTCTGCCCACTCATCGCCCAGAACCTCGGCCTGAGCCCCGTCCAGGCCCTGAGCTTCCTCTGCCCAGTATCCCTGCCTGGACTGGTCCTGAGATCCCTGAATCAGGTGTGGTAGAAGAAAGTGAGGGCACTGATGGGGGGTATTACGGGCAAGAGTTCCACGGAGGGAGGCTCCACTGTGAAGATTCTAGAATAGAACAAATAAGGACGTGACAGCCAGAGGAGTTAATAAATGGGTGGGAAAAGATCAAGGTTTGCTGGGTGGGGTGGTGTTTACATCAGGGGCTGGAGTCAGACAGGCCTGGGTGCAAGTTCTCTGTCATTACTGTGAGGATTAAACAACCTGTCTGTGAAGTATCTAGGAGATAGTAAGTGCTCAGTTAATGTGAGACAAATAAGTGATTTTCGTGGAGGACACTAAGAACATATTTCAGGCAGAGGACTGGAGAGTAAAATATTTTTAAAAATGGAGACTTTGGGGGTGGCAGTATGGGAGGATTCAGGCAGAAGATCTGATGAGAACATCGCATGATAGAGAAGGGCATCAGAGGGAGAAGACTGGGTTTGAGGAGGGACACCCAGGAGGGTGTTTTAGGTAGAGGATCTGAGGGAATTTTACTGGGATGAAAGGGACGGGATTCATACATGGGGGAACACTGGCTCACTGGACCCCCGCAGGTCCCTCTGCAGGCGAGTGTCAGCGCAATCCCCAGGTCTGCGGCCGCGGACGGTGCATCCCCCGGCCCAGTGGCTACACCTGCGTGTGCGACTCCGGTTTCCGACTCAGTCCGCAGGGCACACACTGCATCGGTGAGCCAGGCTGAGAGGGGAGGATGGAGGCGGGGCGGGAGGCTGTACGCTGTCACCTCCTGACCAGGCTCTTCTGTACTCTCAGACGTGGACGAATGTCGCCGCGTTCCCACGCCTTGTGCTCCCGGGCGCTGCGAAAACACGCCAGGCAGCTTCCGTTGCGTGTGCGGGCCGGGCTTCCGAGCCGGCCCGCGGGGTACGGAGTGTTTGGGTGAGAAATCTAGGCCCCACCCCAGCCGGGGTCTCCCTCCAGCTCTCCCTCTGGAGCAGTCCCCGCCCTCGCACGCTTTCCCACGTCCCTTCAGCCCAACTACTGCCTTGGCCTGGCCCCCGGCCCTGTCTCCAATCTCCAGACCGATTCCAGCCCCACCACTGCCTCTTTCGCGACCTGCCCGCCCTTCCGGTCGGGGCGGGTCCCTGCCTTCTACAGCCTGGCCTTCTCTATGGTGCTGGGCCCTGGCCCCGCCCTTTCGCTGGCCCCGCCCTCATATAGCCCCGCCCCTTCTATGTTCCAGACTAGTGCCTGCCCTCTCCAAGGCCCCTCCCCTGACCCTCGACTGCTGTAACCCGCCTCCTCACCATGACTCCTGATTTCCGCCCTGTCACACCACTGCCCCATCCCCAATTCACCCCTTGCCCCGCTCCTGCCTTCCCTTTTCTGGGTCTGCAAAGCTGCCCTTCTAGCCCTTCCCCAGTCCTTACCCTCCCCCAAATTGTCCCCCTCACGATTCCCCTCTCTGCCTCTTCCCAAGCTGGGTCCCTAACTCAGGTCCTGTCCTCCCCGCTGAAGCTCCGCTGCAGCCTTAAACCTACGCACTCCGAGCCCCTCTACCGCCCCTGGCTCCCGCTTCAGCCTGGCCCCTGCCCCAGCCTGACTCCGCCCCTGCCGTCCCCACACCGCCCCCCCCACACACCAAGCCTTCTGGGGGAGGGGAGGAGGCTGAGTGTCTGCCCCAGGCCCGGCCACCCTGTTTGTGCCCGCAGACGTGGACGAGTGCCACCGCGTGCCGCCACCGTGTGACCGTGGGCGCTGCGAGAACACGCCTGGCAGCTTCCTGTGCGTGTGCCCCGCGGGGTACCAGGCTGCGCCCCATGGAGCCAGCTGCCAGGGTGAGGGACTGGGCATGTAGAGGGGAAGGGAAGAGCAGCAGCGGTGCAGGATGCTGAGACAGAGCCAGGAGGCTGATTGATTTGAGACAGAGGCCAGGCTCTGAGAACCAGACAGGCAGCTTGGTTGGGGACGAAGAGGCCAAGTGATGGAAAACAGAAAGGCTGAGTCATGGAGGTTGGAGAAACAGAGGGAGGTGGGTGGAGATGAAAGGGTAGAGTTATGAAGGACAGAGTTTAAGGAGGCCGGCCGATACGGACTAGAAAGACAGAGTTCCAGGAAGCAGACAAGCAGCTTCATAGGAATTGAAAAAATGGATAGAAGATGGAGGTAGGATGATGAGGAATAGGATGGCAGCGTGACGAGGATGGAGAGCAGGGGCATTGGGACAGGGTGGCAGGATGGTGCAGGGTGAAAGGTCAGAGCAATGGAGGTCAGGGAGGCAGAATAGAGTATGGGGGGAGGGGCATAAAGGAGGTATGACCTGGGTCCCTTGTTCTGAGCAGATGTAGATGAATGTATCCAGAGCCCGGGCCTGTGTGGCCGAGGGGTCTGTGAGAACCTGCCTGGCTCTTTCCGGTGTGTGTGCCCGGCTGGCTTCCGAGGCTCGGCATGTGAAGAAGACGTGGATGAGTGTGCCCAGGAGCCACCGCCCTGTGGGCCGGGCCGCTGTGACAACACAGTGGGCTCTTTTCACTGTGCCTGCCCTGCTGGCTTCCGCTCCCGAGGGCCTGGGGCCCCCTGCCAAGGTGAGGGGGGCAAGTCTAAAGTCACTCCACCTTTCCCCTTTGCTGTGGGGGCCGGAGAGAGACAGGTTTGGGAGGGGGTAGCAGAGAGGCAAAGGGATGAGACGCAGTGGAGGAGGACAGGGACAGAGGCCTGGGGAAAATGAGGGTGTGGGGAGGGTCTGGCTCCAGAGTCTTTCCCCCTTTCTCCAAATATGGATGAGGATGGTCTCCACTCCCCCTCCCCCCCCTTTTCTGGATGATGCTCTTGTGCTTGTGGGCCTTTCCACTGGCTCAGCAGTAAAGCATCCATCTGCAATGCAGGAGATCATGTACAATGCAGAAGATACGGGTTAGATCCTGGGGTCAGGAAGATCCCCTGGAGAAGGAAATGGCAATCCAGTCCTGAGTATTCTTGCTACCCCATGAAAAGAGGAGTCCGGCGGGTTACAGCTGTGGGAACTCTGAGGAAGGGACAGGGTTGAGGCACAGAAGGCATCATGCAGGAGGTGGTATCCTGGCTACTTCGTGGCAGTTGGAGAGACCATTAATGGGGAAGCAATGAAAGGATCTGTCCTTCTGGCAGGAGGGGGCAGCCTGAGCAAGATCCAGGACACTGCCTCCAGAATGGAATGTTGGGGTGGGTGGTGATGGTAGGGGGTCCAGGCCCCTTCTTCAGCCCCACTGGCCTCCTCTGCTCCAGATGTGGATGAGTGTGCCCGTAGTCCCCCGCCCTGCGCCTATGGCCGGTGTGAGAACACGGAAGGTGGCTTCCAGTGCGTCTGCCCCACAGGCTTCCAGCCCAATGCTGCCGGCTCTGAGTGCGAGGGTGAGGCTGGGGAGGGAGGGAGGAATATGGATGGATGAGGGGGGCACTGGGCCACTTCTTCAAAGCCGCACTCTTGTCTGCTCTCCAGATGTGGATGAGTGTGAGAACCACCTGGCGTGTCCTGGGCAGGAGTGTGTGAACTCACCAGGATCCTTCCAGTGCAGGCCCTGTCCTGCTGGTCACCACCTGCACCATGGCCGATGTACTGGTAAGATCAGGCCCTGGGTGTGACCTTTGACCTGCCTCATGACTCCTGACCGAGATCGTGACCCCTGACCTGACCATGCAACCTTCTAACCTGGATCTGAGTCTCCTTACCTGGACTGCAACCCCCATAGCATGACTGCGATTCTTGACCTAGATTTGACCTCCGATCAGAGTGCAGTTTCTGATCTGGACAATGACCCTTGGCCCTGAATGTGATTTCTGCCTCTGTGATCAATGACCTTCAACTTGACTGTGACATTTGACTTTAGCTATGAATCCTGCTGATAACCCTGGGACCCCAGCCCTGGTAGCAGTTGTGCTGCTCCTGTCCTCTGGCCCTGTATTCGACCTGTGACCCCTAAACTTGACTGTGACGTCTGATCTAACCATAACTACCAACCGTAACCCTGACCAAAACCCCTGACTCTGTGTGATACTTGACCCTGTCTTTTTTTTTTTTTTTTTTGACCCTGTCTTTTTCACTTCCCCTGCCCTTTCTCAGGGTCTCTTCTCTGGAACCTGATTGGGTTCATGATTCTGGATCCCAACCCCTGACCAGAAACTCAGACCCCTGACTCATCAGAATGGCATCCAATTATCCTGTTTACCTGACCCCTTACCCTAACTAATGTCTGACCCCTGTCCTAGTCCCTTCCCCTGCCCCTGGGATCCTGGCACAGGGAGTTCCCAGAAACCCAGACACAGGATCCCCCGATGATGGTCCCCAGGATTAGGGAGCCCTGGTCTCCCTTACCCAGTTCTGCTGTTGACTCTTCACCTCACATCCAACCCAAGACACTTCCCATCATTTCTTTCTGACCCTCATCCATCTGTCCCTAAGCAGAACCTCTTCTGAAGTCTCCATTCCCGCAGATGTGGACGAATGCAGTTCGGGCGCCTCCTGCGGCCCCCATGGACACTGCACTAACACCGAAGGCTCCTTCCACTGCAGCTGCGAGCCAGGCTACCGGGCGCCAGCTGGTCGGCCCGGGCCCTGCGCAGGTGGGCTGGGTGGGGAAAGGACTGGACAGCCTTGGGGTGGGCCCTGGCCTCCTAGGCAAAGCCTGGTGGGGAGGTGGGAGTTGGACTAAGGGACTGTATAGGTGGAATTTAGAAACTGGCCGTCTGGGGCGTGCCTTGCTAGCAGGGTTGCGGCTTTGTAGGCGGGGCTTGGGTACCGGGGGCGGGTCTGGTGACCCAGTCCGAACTCTGGGTACCCTAGACGTGAACGAGTGCCTGGAGGGCGACTTTTGCTTCCCCCACGGCGAATGCCTCAACACCGACGGCTCCTTCGCCTGTACTTGTGCCCCCGGCTACCGGCCCGGACCCCGCGGAGCCTCTTGCCTCGGTCGGTACCCAGGCTGGGCCTGGACCGGGAAAGGGAGGGGCGGAGTTGGAGAGGAAAGGGGGAAAGGGCGGAGTCTGGATAAATTGGGCAGTGAATGGAAAGGCTCGAGCCAAGCTCGTCGGGAAGGTGGGGCTTGCAGGAAAGGGAGGAGCCTAAGGCAGGTGGGGGAAGGCGTTAGAGTCTCGGAGCCATGGGGCGGGGAAAAGGCGGTGGAGGGGCGTGGTCTGGAATGTCAGGCAGGGAAGGAGAGTGGCTTGCGGTTGCCGACACTGTCCCGCAGACGTGGACGAATGCAGCGAGGAAGACCTCTGCCAGAGCGGCATCTGTACCAACACCGACGGCTCTTTCGAGTGCATCTGCCCTCCGGGACACCGCGCCGGCCCAGACCTCGCCTCCTGTCTCGGTGCGAGGACCCCCCCACCCCAAGCCGGACAGATCCCTCTCCCCTATTTGTCTCCCTATCTGCCTCCCCTCTGCTGCTTCCTCCTGTCCCCTTTCCTGCGTCTCCCGCCTCCCCCTTCTGACTCTACTCTGCCCTCCTTGCCTCCCCCACCCGCTCTCCTTTCCCTCCTTGCCACCCCTCTTCCCCCGCGCCGCCTCACCCATCTGACTGCCCCCCCTCCTCACTCAGATATTGACGAATGTCGGGAGCGGGGCCCGGCCTTGTGCGGGTCCCAGCGTTGTGAAAATTCCCCGGGCTCCTACCGCTGTGTCCGAGACTGCGACCCCGGCTACCATGCAGGCCCCGAGGGCACCTGTGACGGTGAGACCACTGCCCCCGCCCCCACGAAGAGCTTTCTTGATGACCAAGGAGGGGCGCCAGGCTTCACTTACCTCTCTCCCCAACGGTGCAAACAAGCTACCAGTGCGTCCTTACATTGTCTGTAGTGGGGAGACAGGAGGCTGAGGGAAGATGCTTCTATCAGGAAACAGACCAAACCTCGCTTCCAGAAGCAGCACAGATTTGGGGGTGGGGGTGGTGGTGGTGTGCAGGTCAACATTTTGTGGAACAGATGAAATGACTGTGGACTGCCTTGGGTTCTTGGGTTGCCAGACCCCTGATTCATGGAAACCTAGTTTCATGGACCTCATTCACTAATTTCACAAGAATTCATTAAGCCCTACTGTGTGGGACACTGGTGGCAGAACAGGCAATAATTCCAACAATAAATCCCTGTCCATGGGACTTCCCTGGTGGTCCAGTGGGTTAGACTCTGCGGTCCCAATGCAGGAGGCCCAGGTTCGATCTGTGGTCAGGGAACTAGATCCCACATGCTGCAACTTAAGATCCCACATGCCACAATGAAGACCCAGCACAGCCAAAAGAAAACAAACAAACAAATCTCTGTCCTCATGGAGCCGATATTTTAGGGAGGAGAGACAGATAATAAATATGTAAATAACTTTGATTCATTCAGCAAATGATTTAGGGGCACCTACACCTGAGGATACAGTGAGGAACAGGACAGACACAAACCCCTGCCAACCTGGAGCTTGGATTCTAGGGAGGTGACAATTAGCATGCTAATAAATACATGGATATAAGAAGTTTAAGAAGGAAAATAAGGCAGGATAAATGGACACAGAGGACAGGTTAGATAAGGGGGGGGCTGGTTTAGGGGGGCTTGACTTAGACTGTGGAGTGAAGCAAGAGTGGGAGCCATGCAGATAGTTGAGGGGAGAGTGTTCCTGACAAAGGGAAGAGCAAGTGCGAAGGTCCTGAAGTGGGGCCACGTTTAGGCTATTTGAGAAATGGTAATGAGGCCTTGCCTGCCTTAAGATGTATCAGTGCTTGTTGGTCAGACTCGTAGAATACCAGATTAGAGACCTCTCAGGCATAGGAACTGGAAGCAGCACCAAGAGCCTGTGAATCCGGGCCTGCGACCCCCCTCTCTTTCCCCTCTGCCCTCCCCACGCTTTTGCAGACATAGATGAGTGCCAGGAATATGGCCCAGCGATCTGTGGAGCCCAGCGCTGTGAGAATACCCCTGGCTCCTACCGCTGCACGCCAGCCTGTGACCCTGGCTACCAGCCCACGCCAGGGGGCGGATGCCAGGGTGCGTGTCCCTGGGGCCATGGGTGAGATGTGGAGGGGACAGAAGTTCCAGCCGCGGCCTGACTGTCTGGTGGTTGCAGATGTGGACGAATGCCGGAACCGGTCCTTCTGTGGGGCCCACGCCGTGTGCCAGAACCTGCCTGGCTCCTTCCAGTGCCTCTGTGACCAGGGCTACGAGGGGGCGCGGGACGGGCGTCACTGCGTGGGTACGGGGCTCCTGGGGGAGGGCGGGGCCAGAGGGTGGGGAAGAGGCTGGTCAAGCCCTGCTCCTCTCCATAGATCTGAGTGCATGTAACCTTTAGGGGTATGGAATTTAGACCTTGGACTATAAGATCATCTTCATGTCAGTCAGGAGTTCCTATTAACTCGGATTTTATTTGGGGTATGCTTAAAAAATTCATGAATAAGGGAGTAGAAGTGCAGTAACCTTAAGTGTATGTAAACATTTTTTTCCTCCAACATTTACAAAAAAATGTTTGGCAGCACATGGGACCTTAGTTCCCCAACCAGGGATTGAAACCCTGTCCCCCGCATTGGAAGGCAGAGTCTTAACCACTGGACGCCAGGGAAGTCTGCCAACATTTTATGAGAAAATTTTCCAAACATATGGCAAGTTAAAAGGCCTGTAGAGTGAATCTCTGCACAGCCATGACCTGCATTCTGTTATCATTATACTTGCTTCCTCACATGTCTCTCCACTCATCCACCTAATTTTTTGGAGAGATTTAAAATTAAATTGCAGGCATCACTATATGCCTCCCCCGTATGTTTCGTGCATAATGCATGTCATTAACCAGAGATCAGTATGTGTTCACAGATATTTTTGAGGTTCAACTTACGAACAGTGCAATGCATGAGTCTTAATTATACATTCTCTTAGTTTTGACAAATATGAACACATCAGGCTTCATTTCTTTAAAGGGAATCAAAACTGTGAAGTTCAGGGAAATATTTGAACTTCGGGGATATGTGATTATAGGAATTGTTAACGAGGCTTGCTGTCTCCCAGCTCTGCTATCCTCTATTGCATTTATCTTCAGGCAGATTCTCTTTTCACAATAACGAAAGGGGCCCTCGCACCTCTGGCTGACATCCTCAACTTGCCAGCCCTAGCTACAGAGGGAGGCTCTGCATATTTCTAGAACAAGTCCCAGGACTTGCTTTGATTGGCCCAGCCAGGCCTGTCTCTGAACCAGAGAAACGCATCAAGCTGCTTGACCTGCTCAAAACACATGGGTTGAAAAATGGAGGAGCAGAGGGCTCCCGTTGGGACATCAGGGTTTGTCACTGGTACATAAGTAGAGGATGGGATCTGAGCCATTAAAATACTTGAAAGCTCAGGCTTTTATGGAATTCCAGAAGTTTACCACCGTTGACTCCCTCTTCCCTGTTGTCTCCTGCTCACAGATGTGAATGAATGTGAGACACTACAGGGCGTGTGTGGAGCTGCCTTGTGTGAGAATGTGGAAGGCTCCTTCCTCTGTGTCTGCCCCAACAGCCCTGAGGAGTTTGACCCTATGACTGGGCGCTGTGTTCCCCCTCGGACCTCTGCTGGTGAGACTGAGATGAAAGTCTACTTAACTGATGCCTGCTGGCCCCGCAGAAAAGTCATGAGCTCTAACCATTCCTGATGTGGACAGCTGCCATCAGTTAGATGCTATTGTTTTAAACAAGAAAAAACTGCAAAATACAGGAGTTAACCTAGGTGTGGGACTCAGTGTCAGGAGAAGCAGATCATGGCTCTGACTTGACCAGATTCCTCCATTCAACAAATGTTCACTGTGTTTAGCCTTTTTCTGGGCACTGAGAATACAATAGTGACCAGAAAAGACCACCCTGTCTTCAAGGGGCTCACAATCCAGTGGGGACAGATAGCAATGTAGCCTGACAGTAATCATCTCGAGAAATCAGGACTGTAATGGAGGCAAGGGCCATGGGGTAGGTGGGAAGGAGAGGGCAGGTGAGAGAGGGGCTCTAGCAGCTCCACGTGGACAGGTTGTGGGGCTGCGTAGGTCAGGGAGCAGCGTCTAGGCCTAGGTCTGGGTTTGAGTATGAAGATTCCCAGGCCAGTTTGGGATGTGTTGATTAGGAGGCCTTAGGGAGGCCTCTAAGAGGCCAGGGAAATGCTCTCTTCTCCTACCTGAACTGCAGGTGGGATGAGGGGCCAGATGCTTGGGAGAGGGAGGTAGGGAGGCAAGAGGTAAAGAAATGAGGCAAGAATGGAAGAGACCGTGGCCGATGGTGAGGGGTGTGGAGCCAGGTTCTGCCACACGGGGGCCTCAGTTTCCCCGTCCATAATGGAGGGGCTGGAGGCTCAGCCCACACTGGGCTTGTCTCCCCAGGTACGTTCCCAGGCGCACAGCCCCATGCACCTGCCAGCCCCAGTCTGCCGGCCAGGCCCCCACCCCCGCCCCCGCCTCGCCGGCCCAGCCCACCTAGGCCGGGCCCTGTGAGCAGCGGGCGAAGGGAGTGCTACTTTGACACGGCGGCTCCGGATGCCTGTGACAACATTCTGGCTCGGAACGTGACGTGGCAGGAGTGCTGCTGCACTGTGGGTGAGGGCTGGGGCAGCGGCTGCCGCATCCAGCAGTGCCCGAGCCCCGAGACAGGTGGGCATGGGCCTCGGGGTGCACGCAGGGCTGAGGGTTTGGGTAGAAATAGGTGGACAGGAAACGGGGACAAGGGGACACACTTGGACAGGGGGCAGAGGTGCTGGTATCGCATGGGCAAGGGTGACTTGCCAGCCAGGTGGGCATCAGGCTGAGAGGTGGATACAAATAGGCGCAGGGGCTGAAGTCTTGGGCGGTGAAGGGCAGACATGGGGCAAGAGTACGCACTGAGGCAACTGGGCCAAGGCAGGGGCCAGGGCCAGGGTGTGGAGGCTCAGCGTTGTCTCTGTGTGCAGCTGAGTACCAGTCATTGTGCCCCCATGGCCGGGGCTACCTGGCGCCCAGCGGAGATCTGAGCCTCAGGAGAGGTAAGGCTCACCCGCCCTCAGTCTCCAGCCCAGCTCTGTCTCACCGTGTCTGTTTTCTTCATCTCTCTCCTATCTTTCCCCTTCCCACCCCATCTTCTGTCTCTGGGTCTTTGTCACCATCTCTTCCTCCTCTCTTTCCTGATCCTGCCTTGCAGCCACACACTCCCCTCCCCCGATCCAGCCCATCCCACCACCTGGCCCTCCCCCATCTCTGGTGAGGCGCGTGCCTCTGATCATCTTTCCCACAGACGTGGACGAGTGCCAGCTCTTCCGAGATCAGGTGTGCAAGAGCGGAGTGTGCGTGAACACAGCCCCAGGCTACTCATGTTATTGCAGCAATGGCTACTACTATCACACCCAGCGACTGGAGTGCATCGGTAAGAGCCCCCACCTCCACCATCACCCCCACCCTCGCCTGGGACTCTTTCCAACCCTTGGTCACGCCAGCGCCTCTCTGGAATGTGACCACCACCAGCAGGAAGTCGTTCCTGGAGTCTAGACTCCATTTATCAGATTGTCAATGCACTGGGGAAAGGGCAAAGGGGAGGAGGCTGCTTAATCACTCCCTCCCTGCCTCCCTAGATAACGACGAGTGCGCGGACGAGGAGCCGGCCTGTGAGGGCGGCCGCTGCGTCAACACTATCGGCTCTTATCACTGCACGTGCGAACCGCCACTTGTGCTGGATGGCTCGCGGCGCCGCTGCGTCTCCAACGAGAGCCAGAGCCTGGGTAGTCTTCCCGCGCCCCGCCCCGTCAACGACCACGCCCCAGTCCCGCCCACGCCGTCCAGCCCCTCAACCTCCGCTCAGCCTCAGGCCTACTCCCGGGCCACGCCCCTCGCGCGTGGCTCGGTCACGCCCCTTAACGCCCCATTTAGCCTCTGGTCTTGGCATTTGCCTCTCAGAACTAGAGGCCAGCTGGCGTGGTTAAAGACGAAGGTTTCAGAGGAACCTCCCTGCCACTTGCTGGCCCCGTGTACACAAGCACGTTTGCTTATTCCCTCTTGGACCCCCAGCACATTGGGTAGATTGGTAGTAGCCCCTACCTTAAGAGGGTGGTTCTAAAGAATTCTGTTTTCAAGAACAGAAGGAGGACCTGGTCTCACTAAGTGCTAAAAGCATGCTTTCTGTTATTTCCCTGTATGTCTCTGTCTCTTTGCACCTCTCTATGAGTTTTTGTCTTTAGGCTTTTCTCTAAATTTCTGACCCTCTCTGCATCTGTCTTCGTTTTTAGGTCTTTCTCCCTGCACCTTTGCTTTCCTGTGTTTCATTGAATCTCTTTTGATGTGTTTGTCTTTATTTCTTTGGGTCCTTTCTCTCTTTTTGCCCATTGACCCAAACTTTCTTCTTTTGCTTCCTGTTCCTACAACATCCTCCCACACTCTATCTAAGACATCATTCAAACAACAATGCTCAGAGAGGGAAAACAACTGCCCTGGGGTCACAGAGCCTTCCAGAGGCCAGGCTTGGATAGATTCCTCCTCAACAGACCCTATCTCCCTCCTATTTGATGACTTCGTGGCAGGCCAAGCCCTGTACTCACCTGGAGCTACTTTAGAGGACTTCCTGAAGCCACATCACAGCTGATGAGAAGGACCGAATGATAGGGAGGGGCTGGCTGGGCTGAAGGAGATTGAGCAATTTGGGAAGACTTGAGTGTCTTCTTCCTGCCTTGATGCATGCTGTCTCTGCCCTCAGATGACAATCTGGGAGTGTGCTGGCAAGAAGTGGGGGCTGACCTCGTGTGCAGTCGCCCTCGGCTGGACCGCCAGGCCACCTACACAGAATGCTGCTGCCTCTATGGCGAAGCCTGGGGCATGGACTGTGCCCTCTGCCCCGCACAGGACTCAGGTACCGCCACCTGCCTGGGCTGTACGCAGACTCTGCCCCTCAGGCTCCAAATCCAGTCCTCAGACTCCCAGTGTCAGACTCCAAGACACCCCCAAACTCAGCCCCTCAGACCCCTATGTCCCAGCCCATTCCTAAATCTTGGTTTCTTAGGCCCCAAGTCACAACCCAAAGACCTCCAAGCCTCAACCACAGAAAACCCAAGGCCTGACTCAGCAGGTGTCATAGTTCTAGTCCCATAGGACCCTGAGGTCTGGGCTCTCAGACCCTCAACCCCTGGTCTCTGGAACCCCAAGACAACCCATGAGAACCCTCCCCCAAAGCCTGGACCTTTAGAACTCAAATGCCAGTTGCTCAGATCCTGCCATCCTGGCCCCCAGACTCTGGTCATAGCTCACAAACCTCCAAGTTCCACTGGCTTGGATATTCACATCCAAGTGCCTAAGAGGGCAACCCACAGCAACAGAGATTCTGCTTGCCTTGTCTCTTAAAAGCCCAGAGTCCCCCATTTCTCAGCCCTTGGGAAACCAGTGCCAGCCCCTGGTCCTTGGTCCTCTGACTTCCAGGTCCCATGGCTCAGATCCACTCCCATGCATCCTGACCCCTCAGGTCCCTGATACTTACCAGTCCTAAAACACCTCCATCCCACCTTCATAGGCCCCTGGCCCCAGATCTCATGGGTCCCCAAATTCCATCACTTGGATCCTGACTTCTAGCTGTAGTCCTCAGTACTCCTGACCTCAGTGCCTTGGAATCCCAGTCTCAGTCCTCAGACCTTCAGTCCTGGCTCCAGAACCCCTGATCCCAACCCTGCAACCCCAACCTGCTCCTTTGACACCCATCTAATGTCTCAGCCCAAGCCCCTCCCACCCTCTCCTCCAGGCTCCTCTTCCCTGAGGGGGGACATAAATAGCCGGTTCTGGGGAAGCCCGAGCTGATTGTTAGGCTTGGCTCCTATTCGCAGATGACTTTGAGGCCCTGTGCAACGTGCTGCGCCCCCCTGCATATGGACCCCCGGGGCCAGGTGGCTTTGGACTCCCCTATGAGTATGGCCCAGACCTAGGTCCACCTTACCAGGGCCTTCCCTATGGGCCTGAGTTGTACCCACCACCCGTCCTACCGTATGACCCCTACCCACCGCCACCTGGGCCCTTCGCCCGACGGGAGGCCCCTTACGGGACGCCACCCTTCGACATGCCGGACTTTGAGGACGATGGTGGCCCCTACGGTGAATCCGAGGCTCCTGCTCCATCCGGCCCGGGCACCCGCTGGCGCTACCGGTCCCGTGACACCCGTGGCTCCTTCCCAGAGCCTGAGGAGTCGCCTGAAGGTGGAAGCTATGCTGGTGAGTACTGAGGCCCAAGTGATGAGCACCAAGTGTACAGAGATGGCGATAGGAGAAGGGAAGGAGGGAGGGACAGGGAGAGACAGAAACAAAGAGAAGTCGGGGCAGACACAGGCTCAGAGAGACAGGAAAACAGATATTGTTGGAGAGAGCTGCAGAGAGCAGAGATGAAGAGGAACAGAGCCGTCTCAATAGATGAACCGAGAAAACGATGAGGACAGAGGGAAAAGCTAGAGAGAACAGAGCAACGTAAACATCCCAGCCCCACAGCGCCGCCCACAGCCCTAGTACGGGATGGACAGTTTAGAAGGGGACCTCGGGAATCAGGGGCAGGGCCCCACTTGAACCCCCGAATCCCCACACTCTCCGCAGGCGCCCAGGGTGGGCGCTACGAGGGCCTGGAGGCAGAGGAGTGCGGGATCCTGGACGGCTGCGCCCATGGCCGCTGCGTGCGCGTCCCCGAGGGCTTCACCTGCGACTGCTTCGACGGTTACCGCCTGGACATGACTCGCATGTCCTGCGTTGGTGAGGGCGTGGGCCAGGGCCAGCATCGAGGGTTTGGAGATAGGGTGGAAAACCTTACTAGCGGTGGGTAATCAGGGTGGTCAGGAAGACTGGCCAAACGGTTAGGCAGAGGAACAGGGATGGGGCATGCCTTAAGATCAGGTTGTGAGGAAAGCCAGGCTGTGACCACAGGACCAGGGCTGGGCTTGAAGCTGGATAGAGAGAATAGAATCCTGCAGGCATGATTGCTAAGGACTCCCAGGGCTACTTTGAGCGATTTGCTTGACTTCTTTGAAGAACCTTCAGTCTTCACATCTGTAAAATGGGAATATGAATCATGTCTGCCTAGTTTAGACAGCAGGAAAGCGGAGTGGTTACAAGCCAGGACTCTGGGCAGTTGGATAGACCTCAGGCTCTGTCCAGCAGCGTGATATGTGATCCCAGACAGGTCACTGTCTCTTGCTCAGTTTTTCTCATCTGAAAAATGAGCATATCTTACATAAGCCATTTCACAGAGCCGAGAACATAGATTTGCAATGACAGTGTAAACCAAAGCTCAGTGAAGGGAACTGACTTTCTCAAAGAGCTAAAAAACAGCAGGTGGCTGGGCACTCGAGAGTCTTTTCGAGCTGGTCTGAGAATTTCCTGGGCTTTGTGTGACAGAGGGTGAGAGGCTTCCCCATATTGAGCCTCAGTTTGCCCAGTACCTACCTCATAGGGTTATTAGGAGGATAGTTAATACAGGTAATATGCTCAAAACAGTGTCTGGCACAACAGGCATTTGTGGTTGTTGATATCATCGTCAGTACTGATTTCCTAACAAAACCCCAGTGTCCTAGGCGCTACCATACCCATCTCACAGAACACAGAGCTGAAGCGCAGAGAGGTTAAGTCACCTGTCCAGACTCACATAGCCAACAGTCTCCACTCCAACAGGAGACTCAGCATCACAACCCTCAGGGGCCAGCGAGGCGGGCTCCTGGGTCCCCAGCCCTGAATAGCACTCCTGGTATCCCTTCTCCCCAGACATCAACGAATGTGACGAGGCCCAGGCGGCCGCCCCGCGCTGTGTCAACGCGCGCTGCGTCAACACCGATGGCTCGTTCCGCTGTATCTGCCGCCCAGGATTCGCACCCTCACACGAGCCGCATCACTGCACGCCCGCCAGACCCCGGGCCTGAGTCCCCAGCAGCCCTGGGCCGCAAACTCCGCGCTTGCGCACGCGGGGTCCCTGCCGCGCAACCTTGCCACCCGCCCGCTTGCGCGCTTGCGCACAGGGATGCCGGACCCGGCGGAGAGGCTGGTCGGTGGGACAGATGGACAGAAGGAGCAGCCTTCCTACCGACGCCACGGGCCCAGGCTTAGCCCACGGTCCCCTTCACATTCCTGCTCCTTTTTATAAAAATGTTCAATTAAAAAACACCTATTTTGTACCTTCCGCCTCTGTCTGCCTGATGTTTCTCAAAGTTTGGCTCCAGTTTGTTCTTTGAGCCACTAAATTACATCCTCTCCCCTTTCCTGCGCCTCTGTCGCTTGCTCTGTCTCTGCCTCCTTTGGTCCCTGCTTTTCTCCTGTGTCTGTTTGTCTCTGCCTTCGGGCTCTTGCCTTTCTGCTGCTTTGCCTAATTCTCTGTGTCTCTCTTTGTTTCTGTGTTTTTCTGTTTCCCTCTCTGTTTCATTCTCTCTCTAATCTCGAGGTCATACCTCTGGATTTTTAACACGCCTGCCCTTCCCGATAATCCTGTCCATAGCCTCAACTTCCCCCTGCCTTAGGCCTCAAGAAGGGGTGGGAGAGGGTAGCTCAACCTCTGATCAGAGTGGTCCCTCCTTACTCAGCTAGAGGGAACCCCAGATTTCCTCTACTTCCCAAAGAAGTTTCAAGCTTCTCTGGTGCAAGTGGGCCATGGGGAGGAGGTGGGAGCAGGAGCCTGGAGGGGCACGTCCAGACCCGGGCCTCCAGCTGGAATTTGGCTGTGGTAGGCAGGAGGGGCACGCTTAGTGGGTGGTCTGTGCAAGGACATGTGGAAGCCGGGATGAACTCTGTGTGTGGTGGCAAAGAGCCTAGCATAGACACCCCCTCCCCGTCGGTCCCTGCCTGCTTCCTGGACATGTGAGGAATCCAAAGTTCTCTCTGAAAGAACAAAAAAACCACTGAATGGGAGTAAGCTCAGTGGATCAGGGACAGTTGGGAGTGGGGGAGCTCTTTGACACTGAAAAAAAATACAGCAAAAGATTGTATCTGGACTTCCTTGGTGGTACAGTGAATAAGAATTCCCCTGCCAGTGCGGGAGACACAGGTTCAGTCCCTGGTCCAGGAAGATCCCACATGCCACAGAGCAACAAAAGCCCTGTGCCACAACTACTGAGCCCGTGCTCTAGAGCCTGGGAGCTGCAACTACTGAAGCCTCCACACATCCTAGAGCCCATGCTTCACACCAAGAGAAGCACCCTAATGAGAACCCCATGCACAAATGCACCACAACTAGAGAAAGCCCATGAAGCAACGAAGGCCCAGCACAATCAAAATAAATAGATAGATTAAAAAGAAAAAAAGATTGTACCTGAGTCATTCTTCACCCACCTGTTAGTGTGAGGGTCTCAAACTCAAATGCCTCAGGGACCAGGTGAAATGGAAGCTGTTGCAGGATAATAAAGTCAAAGTACAAGGGTAAGGACACACAACCAGGGACACTCTACGTAAGGGTTGGATGGAACAAGAGAGGGAAATCTCCCCATTAAAAAAAAAAATTTTTTTTTTGGCCATGCTCTACAGCTTGCTAGATCTTAGTTCCCCGACTAAGGATTGAACCTGGGCCCCTCAGCAGTGAAAGCACAGAGTTCTAACCACTGGACCACCAAGGAATTCCCTCCTTATTTCAAATAAAAATATTTGTTATAACCACTCTGTGAATCTGCTCCGTGAGAGACCAATTTCCATCTTTCAGGTTCAGCTCAAGTTGTGTAAATGGGGAACAGGGGCAGCTTCTTGACCTGACCCCGCATGAGCTTCAGGAAGGGTCACTTTCTCCCTGGTGCCACATAGAGGGTCATACAGATAGTGCCTGATCTACAGGAGTGCTGGTGGCAGTTACGTGAGCCATCTGTCAAGTGCTTCCCACTGCACCTGGCACCTGGCACGTGCTCAGTGATTGTTATCATAACCCTGATCAGATGGTGAGCGCAGGTGGCCAGATCTTGTTCTTCACTCAGTCTCCCTCGCCTGAGGCCAGACTCTTTCCCCTCCAGTGGGAGAGTGAGAAACTCCTGGGACAGTGAGAAACCTAGCAGAGGGACCTTAGCTGGGAGGGGCTCAAAGCTCCAATAAAGGCAGTGATGGCCGCACAATTTTGTACTGAAATCCACTGAACTATACACTTTATTTCTTTTATAATTTTATTTATTTTTGGCTGTGCTGAGTTTTCACCATTGAACGGGTTTTTCTCTAGTGGCTGTGAGTGGAGGCTACTCTTCCTTGCAGTGTGCGGGCTTCTCATTGCAGCGGCTTTTCTTGTTGCCAAGCATGGGCTCTAGGCAAGAGGGCTTTGGGGCTCAGTAGTTGTGGCACATGGGCTTAGTTGCTCTGAGGCATGCGGGATCTTCCCAGACCAGGGATCGAACCTGTGTCTCCTGCATTGGCACACAGATTCTTTACCACTGAGCCCCCAGGGAAGCCCTGAATTGTACACCTTAAATGGGTGAGTTGCATGGGATGCAGTTCAATAAAGCAGTTAAAGAGAAAACTCCACAGAGGGAGTCAAGAAGTGACCTGTCAGTTGACACAGGGAACCTAGCCCAGACACTGACCTTTCATTCATTCATTCAACAAATATGTTCTATATAATACCTACTTTGTAAAAAGCGAGTGTTGAGAACACAAACTTTAGCCCAGCCCTAGGAGGTAGGAGCTAGGGAGATTCCTTGGAGAAGTCGTCTGAGCTAAGACCTGAACAATATCGGGAAATGAGCCAGACCAAGCAGTGCAGGGGGGTGTTCCAGGTGGAGGGAACAGCTTCTGCAAAGGCCTACAGGTCAGGAAGGCAATGGCTCTTAAATGCCCTCTCCTTTCTTTTAAAAAAAAAATTAAATATTTATTTATTTATTGGCTGTGTTGGGTCTTCGCTGCTGCTTGCAGGCCTTCTTTAGTTGCAGCGAGAGTGGGCTTCTCACTGAGGTGGCTTCTCTTGTTTCGGAGCACAGGCTGTAGGCACTGGGCTTCAGCAGCTGTGGCCCACAGGCTTAGCTGCCCTGAGACATGTGGGATCTTCCTGGACCAGAGATCAAACCAGTGTCCCCTGCCTTGCACAGCAGATTCTTAACCACTGGAGCACCAGAGAAATCCCTCCCCTTTCTTCGGTATGTCCCACCTTGTGTTGGACAGTGCTGGTTTGGACAATGCTGGTGACAATTTCAATGCCCAAGCAATCCCTGGTCTCTGCCTTCAGTGAGCTCCAGTCGGAGACAAAGACAATGCATCATCAGACGTGACCATTTGTGCTGGGATGGGAGAGTCACAGGAGAGGGGTCAGGGCTGGGATAAGGAAGATTAGAGGCTATCGGTTCCCAGGGGAGATGGCACCTGACCTGGCCTGAGAAGACATCAGGAAAGGCTTCCTGGAGGAAGAGATAGAGTTCTGAACAGTCTGTATTCAAAGATCCCTTTGAGAATCTGTTGAACACTCTGGACATTCAAAGAGGAAAAAACACACAAACGCTGTGGGCAATTCCCAATTTCTATCATTCCCTCAAGCACCTGTGCCTAGGCAGCCCAAAATTATCCGATGACCCCCTCACGACCGCCTTGCTATCTAAATGTCCCAAGAATGGGGCTGGGGGATGGCCAACAGTGCTGGGAAACTTTGAGATGAAATTTCAGCATCCTGGGTGTGGGGTGGGGTTTTGAGAGACCCAAATATCCCTCTCATCCACCGCCGAGACCGGAGGGTGTGCCGAACATCTATTTTTTCCCTGCCTACATTCTCCCCAGTAACCTCTAGCTCCGGCGCTGGGGGGCCCTTGGCACGTGCAGAGACCAGCGCGTTCTCCTCTGGAATGTCCAGACGGAAATGGTCCAGGCTGTCCCCACTCTCGCCAGACAAGCGCCGCAGCGCCCCCTGACGGTCACCGAGGAAGCACGTCCCAAACTGCCCTCGCCCCCTAGTGGCCAACGCTTATTCAGAATTTACACAGTCATCAGTCAGCATCAACTGCTCCTTTACAACCTTTGGTCTGCTGGCTAGAGTCATCCTCGTCGCAGTCGTCAATGTCATTTCCTTCTTCATCACCACCATCATCATCATAGCTATTACATAAATAGTGCATCCTACGTACCTGGCGCTATATCACCTCATTTAATCCTCACATCATCCCTGTGAAATGGGTTCTGTTACCATCTTCGTTTTCCTCATTTGAAGCACAGAGAGATAAGGAAACTACTTACCCAAGATCACACAGCTACTAAGTGGCTGAGTCTGGGTTGAACCTAGGCAGCTTGTCTCCGGAGGCCACTTTTCTGAACTGTTCAAAAATAATCCCGAAGTAATAGGATGGTTGGGGATTGCTTCACATTAATTCCACAGAACAGCTGTGTGTCAGAGTGGAAAGAAGCTGGGTCCCAGAATCACCATGTTGCTAGCTTGAATTATTTAATCTGTGGTTATTCAGTGAGAATAAACTTCTTAGCTATGGTTTTCCCAGTAGTCATTACGAATGTGAGAGTTGGACCATAAAGAAGGCTGAGTGCCAAAGAATTGATGTTTTCCAACTGTGGTGCTGAAGAAGACTCTTTAGAGTCCCTTGGACTGCAAGGAGATCAAACCAGTCAATCCTAAAGGCAATCAACCCCGAATATTCATTGGAAGGACTGATGGTGAAGCTGAAACTCCAATACTTTGGCCACCTGATGCAAAGAGCTGACTTATTGAAAAAGACCCTGATGCTGGAAAGATTGAGGGCAGGAGGAGAAGGGGATGACAGAGGATGAGATGGTTGGATGGCATAACCGATTCAATGGACATGAGTTTGAGCAAACTCAGGGAGATAGTGAAGGACAGGGAAGCTTGGCATGCTGCAGTTCATGGGGTCACAAAGAATTGGACACAACTTAGCAACTGAAGAATAACTTTTGTTGTTGTTTGAACAACAATTTTGAAGTCTCTTTGTTGTAGCGACTTCGCTTTGATCCTAAAACTAGGGCACCAGAATCACCTGAAGGGCTTGTTAAAAGACAGAATCCTGGGTTCCACTCCCAGTAAGTCTGGAATAGGGACCTAGAATTTGGGTTTCAAATAAGTTCCCAGGGGCTGCTGCTGATCTGGGGACCAGACTCCGAGAACCACTGCCCTCAGGAATACAGGTCCTTACCAGGTGTTGTTTTGTATGCCTATTGCTCATTCTCTCTCTTTGGGAGAATTACCTTTTTCACTCTGAGTCGTAAGGCTGA